GCCGAAACATGGCAGTAAGACACGTCAGCTCTATCGATGCAACGGTAGAAGCAGCCGAGCAGTTTACACAACGCGTGCAACAGCACGTAGAAACATATGATGAAGAGGAACCGTGGAGCACGGAGTTTCTACCAGTCGTGGAAGTCCTATTCAGGAACTTGAGCAGCGACGAAACAACTGTCATACATGACAATCATACGGCAACTATGCCTATTGAGAAATATCTCGACCTCCTCAGAATCGCACAATCATTGCGAAACTCTATCCAGAGAGACAAGGAGGAAAGAAAGGATCATCTTGACACCATCCAAGATACTCTATCCAGAGTGGAAATCCTTCTAACAGCACTGAAGGACTCAAAAACAGTCTTCAATCAATTGGTCCATTCCTCACTAGAGATAGAGCGAAGACATAAAAACCTCAAAAATGTCCTTGAGACACTTTTTGACGACCAAAGCTCTGAGGAAGACCAGTCAGAATCTGACCATGAAGAAGTCCTAACTCCTTCTGCAGCACAGTACTGGAACAGCCTTCATGCCCACGCCTTATCTCCCTCAGGAGATGAAAGTGAAAGATCATGGGCGTCCTCAGACGGACAGCTTGAAAGAAGAAGGGCCGAACGGGCAAAGGCTAAGCAGCCACAACCGGCTAAAGCCGAGGCAACTCCAATCAGCTCACAAGCTGCACCAAAGGCCGAGCCAAAGGCGACTACATCCAACCATGGATATGACACTGCAGACGCCGCCTTCACCAGGGCTGAGAACAGATTACTCGGAATCTTTTCAAGTTCCGAAGAAGATCACTCAGACCCGGATGAACCACATCCGAACGTCTATGCTCGAGCCTATGATCCAAACCTGGATCCAAATCTGAGATAAGGAAAATCTCAGAGTTTCACAACAGTGACTCACAAGGCTCTAACAAGAGCACAGTGAAGGGCTGCATAATTCGATAGAAGAACATTACCAGACCTGATCCTGTACAGACGATCTCTCTGACCAATGTGCATTAAGTGACCACATCACTTGTGATTTTCACTTTATTTCCAATTTCACAACGATTGTTGTCTCGTTGAGAAACGATCGTGCATGAACACTTCGGGCGGTTTTTGGGAAACTCTTTTGAACCTGATTTTTAACGATTGAGTTTTTCATGAACTTTATTCTTTGATGATCAGTTGCTAACATGTCTCCCGCGCACGCTCCTTCAAGCACATGAGTGCAAATTTTTGTCGTGGGGCCTTGTAAGATCCGCTAGCATCGTGTGAGTTCCGAGCCTGATTGCTGGCACTCCCGCGAAGGAAGTGGTGAGTAGCCCTTGAGCGCAAGTTCGGTGAAAGCTGCGAGCGGAGTGAGTTGTCGGATAGGGCTGCAGGACACTCCACGACACGTCTAGTGGTGTACGGGCTCCTCTAGAGGCCTTCTTCGTCGTTGTTCTAGTGCTGAGCCGGGGCGGGCCGCCGCATGGGATCCATGTCCGAGCCTGCTCGAGCAACTGCGGCGGACACTTTGGCAGGCGAACCACGAAGCCACGTTTCGTCGGAGAGCGATTGTGATGCTCACCGGCTGGTTGACCGGTTTCCTGCGGCTGGCTCCGCGCTGGACTACGTGGATGACTCTGCGGATGCGCAGTTGTGGCAACGGCTCTCAGCCTTAGAACAGCCAGTTTTCGGCTCCAACTCTGGTGCGACTGCTGATGTTTCTTCCGGTGATGAACAGGTGGAGGTTGCTGTGGAGTCGCCTACCTTTCAGATCTTGCAAGCTGAAGCTTTTGGTCGCGGCCTGCGGGATCAGACTGCGCGCTCCCATCGTGCGTGGTCATGTGATCTTTACGGCGAGGCTTCCATTGTTCTGGATGGGGTACCTACTGCGACCATTGGTTGGAATGGCCACGACACCCTCTCACAGCTGCTCAATGAATCTGCCAGGACCTGTGAGCACAACGAGAATTATCAGCGATGGATCGTCGATGGTGTTACGCTCCACTTTCGGCAAGCCGGGGTTCGGCCGACCTACGAGTGCAGCTTGGAGCGCTCTACATGGTTCCAGATGGAGACAAACTTCCGCCTGGTGTGCCGTGGCTCCTTCACTCGACGGTTTGCCAGGAAACGCCGCGCTGCTTCTACCAGGACTGGCTGAAGTGGTCTTTTGGGCTACCCGACTGCTGAATAGCTTCGCCTTTGGCTGGCGCCTCCGGCGGCTATGGAGGCTTTCTTTTGTGGCCGATCGTCTTCCTGGAACGGTGATGGTCGACTAAACTTCCAGGCCTCCGCTTCGTAAAATGTGTTCTTCAGTGACCGTGCATTCCGTTGAGCCTGCACTCATTGTCCTGCCTCATGAGTGATTTGCCGAAGCTGTCATGACAATTTTCTTGTTGCTCGCGCGCCTGCCCAGATGCATCCCAAACAGATGTTCATGTGGCGGGCACTTGCATGGCAACATGGACTGCTCACGCCACTCATTTGTGCTAGGACACTTCGGCGTACTGAAGGTGCTTGTCAACCAGTGCTCTTTTCCAGGCTAAGTGCCGTGCTGCACTTCACATAACCTACGTCACGATTTGGGATTGCCTTTTCAGCTAGGTTTGTCGCTGCGCATGTCCGATAGCCCTCAAATTGACACGACTGCTGTGCTGGAAGAAATCGAGCCTTCTCTTCAGGGGCTGCTTTGCATTCCGGCGGCGGTTGCCTCTGTGGGCGACTGCCTGTGTGCAGTCGATCGGCATTCGCTTGAGCTGATCTGCTGGTGGTGGCACGCGGACCTCAGGTGGCACTTGCGTGAGTGGTCACCCGTGGATTCGGCAGTTGCCTCTCAAGCTTCGGCAACACAGAGTCCTCGGCCCGCTGGATAGTGTGGCTCTGTGACCTGGGGTCGCCCTCTTGTGTCGCGCTCTTGCTGTGGGTGCGATACGGGAGCGCTCATGTCTCATTTCGACTTCAAGACTCTGCTTGCTTCTGCTGTTGACTCATGCTCGGAAGCCACTCCTAGGGATAAGCTGCTTCCGCGGGAGTCTGGAGTGTTCAAGCAGATCTTCGAAGGGGAGGATCCTTTGTCTTGGAAGGACAGGTTCGATCTGCCGGACCCACCGGGGTGGGATCATGGCGACGAGGAAACTCTGCTTCCAGCCGAGAAAAAACGCAAGGTATTGGATGCTGATTTCTCGCAAGGCATTTGCTTTACTGTTGTTCGCAAGACTGAAGGATTGAGCTGGGAGGATCAACGGCAACAGGATTCTGACAAGGCTATTGCTAGATGGATTTTCATCATTGTGAAGTGGTCTGAGACGTGTCCTGATTTGTTGGTATGCCAAAGCCTGGATGAATGCACCGAGAAAGATCAAAGGATCAACGTGGTCCAGGATTGGCTGCATCCCAAGGCGCCGAGCACTTTGTTGAAGAGAGCCAATTCTATTATGGGATATCACAAGGTTGTTGGCTGGGGCGACGGGACTTTTCCTTATCGTGAGCAAGATGTGTACCGATACATGTCAGATGCTAAGGCCGGTGGGGCGAAACCGTCACAGCTGAAAGCTCTGCGAGAAGCTATAATCTTCGTGCGGCATGTTTTCATGGTTCCCCAGCTAGACCGGGTGATTGAAAGTCGTCGCTGTCTGGGGGCGTCGCAGAGGGGAACTGTGAAGCGTGGCAAGAAGAGGGCTCATCCGTTCTCCATTCTGGAATTGAAGAAGCTTCACCATTTGCTTGCGGACAAGGATGTTCCAGCTTGGGACCGCACCTTCGCAGGAGCAGTTCTCTGTTGCACTTACATGAGATCGCGTTGGGGGGACTTCCAACATTCAGTCAGCTTTGATATCGAGACGAACGGCCAGGGGGACATCATTTTCTTGGTGTACACTGTTGAGGTGTATAAGACAGTGAATTCCAAGTACTTTGCTGGCGAGCCTGTTAGGTTCATCGCTCCTGGAGTTGGGATTCTCAGTGACAACTGGCTGCACTTGTGGAAACAGGCTCGTGCGGAAGTCGGACTGTTTACATTCTTGCCGCCGCTGCCCACGCCCAATGCTGCTGGCGAGGCCATGGGGTGCTCGGTCTCTTCTAAGGAGATTACTGCTTGGATCCAGAAAGTCTTGGGACGTGACAATAGCAAGAACACAACCGGACACCTCATGAAGCGCACCTTCTTGACCATGGCTGCAAAGCGTGGGGTTGAGCACCTTGATCGGCTAACCATGGGTGGTCACGCCAACTCGGCGAAGATGGCCGACACTTATGGTGATGACGAGCTGGCACGGCCACTAAGGTTGCTCCTGGCGCTCTTGGAGGAAATCCGCGAAGGTGTCTTCGACCCTGACGCTGGACGTGCGGGGTACATCTTCGGTGCTGGCCTGCGGGAACGCCGGCTGACGGCGGATAGGATGCAGGCCCGTGACTCTACAGTCACAGGCGCCTTTGCAGCTGGCGCGGGATCTGAGGCCACAAATGGTGATTGCCCTGCTGATCAGTCTGGCAATAGCAAGGACGGCTTAACAGAGCAGGATGCGGCTTCGTGGGATCTCCCGCTCCCTGAGCGGCTCACTGACGATGATTGGAGAGACTTGGGCATCTCTCCTCCGAGCCCAGGGCATGCTGCCGCCAACGAGGAGCCGGAGTCGCCCGACATCGGCGATTCGCCAGTACACCCGTGGGACAACTTGATCGAGCAAACTAATGAGAATGCTTCCGAGACAGACTCTTCCAGTTCAAGCTGTTCAGATGAGTCGTCTTCTTCGTCTTCAAGGATCAGTCACGAACCTGAGCGCAAGGTGGGTGTACCAAAGCCCGCCCTAGGCACATCTTTTCTGCAACACAAGCGGACTCGGCTTTTGCACTTGATTTCCGATCAAAATCGGAAGGTTTTGCTGTGCGGCCGCATGGTTGGCGACACATACAAGCCACCAATAAAAATTCGATTTGACTCTTCAGTTTGCCGGAACTGCAAGAAGTTCGCGGCGGATCTGTGAAACGCGCCTCTTCGAAAGACCCAAGTACTCTTCGTGTGTGCATGCTCGCACTGCCGGTGCTACTGTCATGGAAGCCTCTCCGCTTGAGTGTTTTTGTGACTCAGACGCAGGGCATCATGTCGCTTGTGGATTCCGAAGCTGCCTTCACCCAGCGATGCCAGGAGGTGAATGCGGGAACCATTCACACGGCTTTGCGTGACAATGGTGTCACGACCTTTGCTAGTCTGGCTTATGCATGCGGCACCCCTCAGGATCGCCCTACGCAGGCCGAGCTGGATGCTTTCAGCACTAGGATTCTTGGAGCTGCGCCTCGCTTGGGTGACGTCTCGCTCTTGAAGCGACTCATCTTCGAATCATGCACCTTTGTGATCGCACAGTTGCGCCAGAATGTTCAAGGCGATGCTTCTGAGACCCCTAAGAAACTCCCCCTCGCTGAAAAAGCGGCCAGAGCAGCCGATCAGAAACGCCGCTTGGCCGGGGTCCACATAGAGAGGGACTCCGTTCCATCTTATGCCTTGGTGGATTTGTGCTTCCATATGCTCGAGGTCGGGGTGACATGGATCAGCCCAGGCCGCTGCACGAGTCGCGAAAGCGAGATCCAACTCTCGACCCGCGATCAAACCAAGGTGTTTAAGCTGGAGGATAACAGCTTGAAAGTCGGAAACGAGGGCCCAGATGATGTGGCCTGCTTCGACTCTCCCATACGGCTACAATGGTGTCTTCAAAGGAGAGGCCTTGCACTTGATCAAGCTAGACTTATGTCTTGGCAACAACATGAGCGGTGGGTGCATTGCCTCCTCCACGCGCTTACGCGTGAGTGCCCTTCGGGGTTCCACAAGCCGGATATGAACCGCATTGTGCAAGCCGACCGGGAGGCATGGCTCATTCTTGCATCGGAGGTGCCGAGTCTCAAGGTCACGGCCGCTGGCGAGTTTCCGCTTGGTGTTGCACTCGAGGCCCTCCGCACTGACCCACGAATCACCATGTATCTTATGCCTACTTGGGGCCGGCAGCCTGACGTCAAAATGCCTTTGGATGTCCCGTCCCCACCAAAGGACGGCGAGGGTTTGTCTCGCTCGGCAAAACGTCGGAGGCGCTTGAAGGCGGCGGCGGCACGGAATGCCACGCCGCCTGGAAAGTCGACTTCGACCCCAAAAGGGGCACGTGCCATGCCTGCCGAGTTGAAGGGCACGCACCAGAAAACCGAAGATGGCAAGCTCATTTGTTGGGATCACAACTGCGGCGGCTGCAAGCTCAAGGCTGACGGTGATCCCCCAGCGTGCCAGCATGGTGTTCATGTGTGTGCCTTCTGTCGTAGGGCTGGTCACTCCTTTCGCAATTGCCGTGCTCGCACTTGGAAGGGCACTGGTAAAGGCAAAACCAAGGAGTGACTAGTCGTTGCAACCCCCGGCCAGGTTGAGGCTGGACGGATCACTGGCCAGAATGACGACGGGCTGGGATACACTTTTTCTCCGGTGCCAGTGACAGCACAGGACCTTTCTTCTGCTGAATCGCTGGCCGCCCAGTGCCTGAATCTTGGCTTTGCAAGTTTTGCACAGCTTCGCGAGCTCAGTGCTCGCCTGCCGGCGGACTCCGTGGGGGCACCTTCAGGCCAACCTGTTGCTCCTGCGGATCCCAAATCTTTTACTTCTGGAGCCTACGTGCACCACGACAAGAACGGGCTTCGATCCAATTGTTTTGCATTTCCTTTTTCCACACAACTGCTTGCACGCATATTGTCGGCTGAGTTTCCTGATGCCTGTTTTTCTTCAGTGGGCCTATTCTTCAACTTGAAGGCGCCGCTTCATTCAGATCGCAACAATGATCATCGGCACGCCAACCTGTTGCTGCCAGCCTCGCATTTTTCAGATGGTCAGGTTTGGGTGGAAGGTCGCGGGCAGCATCCGTGTCCTGACCTCTCCGCCAAACGCCTTGGTTACCTGCTTGATGTGGCTTCTGGCCCGCAACGGCTGCCCTCAGAGCGTCTTCACATTACATGCCCCTGGACAGGGGACCGCCTGCTCGTGGTGGGTTTCTGCGTTCGTGATACACAACGACTCTGTGAACGGGACTGCCACTGGCTGCGGGACTCTGGTTTTCCACTGCCCGGCCCTCCCCAAGATCATGCGGCCGCTCCTCGCCAGGTCACTTCAACGACTTCTTCGCCCTCTTTGTCTACCTCTACGACGCCGCCGCCACAGGCCTCAGCTTCCATCGCCAAGCGCCGCCGCGTTGCATATCGGCCTGCCTTGCCAGTGCATTCTACAGCAACGTCGTCTAAATCTATGACGCCAACTACACCGGACGACCAACATGCTGATGCATTGGCTGAGAAGATCTTCCCGAACAACCTGGCTCCACTTGTTATCGAAATCTTTGCCGGCACCGCCCGCCTCAGCACTGTTGCTGGGCGCATGGGCTTTCGTACTTTGGCGGTGGACCGCTCCTCGCAGAGAACCAATTTCTCTATACAACGACTGGACCTTACGTTGGATGCCGACTTGCAGACGCTGCTTGACATCATCAATCTGGAGGCTGACAACATTGCTTGGATCCATTTGGCACCTCCTTGTGGTACGGCCTCGGCGGCACGATCCAGGCCTTTACATAAGGCTGAGCACTACGGCTGCCCTGTGCCTCAACCACTACGCAGTGTCACGGAGCCGCAGGGCCTCTCCACACTGACCGGTGCCGACCGCGATCGTGTACTCGCTGCCAACAAGTTGTACCGAGCTGTCGGCTGCATCGTTGACCTCGCCCTGCAGCTTGGTCTTTTCGCGACCGTTGAGAACCCTCTCAACAGCTTGGCTTGGCTATGTGACGGCCTCGACCACCTTTGTCGCCGTGAAGATAGCTACCAACTCATCTTTGATGCTTGCATGCATGGCGGGGATCGCGACAAAACTACCTTATTCTGGTGCTCCGACCCACGCTTTCAGTCGCTGGCACTGCGTTGTTCCCGTGACCACAAACACGCATCCTGGAAGCCTCGCTTTGTGGATGGGCATTGGCAATTCCCCACTGCTGCGGAGGCGGCATACCCTTGGCTTCTTTGCGAACGGATGCTTTACATTCTGGCTGAGAGTTTTCCTGCATTGGCTTCAACTTCACAGCAGCCGCGAGCCTGTGAGCAAGTCGCACTGCAGCGACAGCCAAAATATGCTCGACCTCTGGTTTCATGCTACCAATCACACGACTGCTGGGCTGTACCTGTACGCTCCGCGGATGCTGCGGCACCTCTTTTGAAGTGCTACCCCAAAGGTGCTCGTGTGACGCAACGCAAACTGGTGCCGTGGGGAGCAGTCCGGGTTTGCGCTGCCTCGAAATATCCTGGTTTCGACAGACATAGTTCTGCCGAGTTGCTGGGAGGGACGGCCAAGATCTATCAACCTGACACTTCCGATTTCTCTTTGCTTGCAAGCGAGGATAAAAACGACGTGTACGAGGTGGTGGGAATGGTGTGCGATGACAATCCTTGTGCGACCCAGGCAGAAATTCTTACTATTGGAATTCCACATGAACCGGAGGACTTTGTGAAGGCTGCGGTCCAAGCGGGGCACCCTCGCAATGCAATACTGGTCAATCGCCAAGGTCCGGCAAAGGAAATCGCTGCCAACGTAGTTATGCCAGCAGAGGAGCGCAAGAAAAGGGCCGATGAGGCTCGGGATGCGTGGAAGAAAATTTCCAAGGTGTCGGCTGAGACCAACGACGCGCTTATGAAACAAAAGCCCGCGTACTTGGCGAAGGCGCTGGCTGGCAAGAACGTCATTGCTTGGCAGCGCATTCTTGAGCGAAATGGTTTCCCTGACCAGATGCTTTGGGCTGACTTGCGTGATGGCTTCCGCTTGACAGGATGGATGAGAGAGACCGGAATCTTCAAACCTAGAGTCAAAGCACCGGAATCCTCTCTTGAAAGTCTGTTAGCACAATCGTCTTACCGATCTCCCATGACTATGAGCCGGATAACAAACACGAAGCCGGACGAGACGTCTAGGAAGGCGTGGGCTGAAACCCAAGAGGAGGAGCGCAAGGGCTGGATCTTCGAGGACACCGCCCCTGACTTCAGCAACATCATTCTGGCGCACCGCTTCGGGCTTGAGCAGAAAAACAAAGTACGGGTGATTGACAACGGCAAGGATTGCGGCTTGAACATGGCTTGCGGGCTGCCAGAGAAGTTCACCCTGCACGGGGTCGACGTTCTGGCGGCTGTCTTCCTTGAGTTGTTGAATATGCCACGTGACCGCTTGTTCAAATTGGTTGGGAAAACAATAGATCTCGTCTCCGCTTACAAGTTCTACCCCGTACATCCTCTTGACAGACAACACTTGAGGATTGGTGTGTTCGACACGGACAGCAAGAGGGCGCGGATCTATGGGACTAATGTCCTACCTTTCGGTGCCACCGGAAGTGTGGCTGGCTTCCTTAGGGTGTCAGCCGCCGTCTGGCACACTGGCGTCCGAGACATGGGCTTGGGCTGGTGCGCATACTTCGATGATTTTCCATTGCTATCTTGTGATGGAATGGAGGAACAGATCGAAGAATTCGCCGACGAAGTGTTCGAGGCTCTTGGGATTCAGTATGCCAAAGAGGGCAAGAAAGCAACAAAGTTTGATGCGGTTTTTAATGCGCTTGGCTTGGCCTTCGACCTGTCGGGATTCGAGAGCGGGGTCATCTCCATCACACATACCAGCGATCGAAAGAAGGAGTTGAACGACGTTCTCGCGAACATCTTGCAGACGGGAAGACTTAGCCCCAAGGAGGCTGAAGTCCTCCGCGGGCGCATGCATTGGTATTCTTCTTACTTGTTCGGACGGGCACCGTGCGAAGCTATGCACCAACTTTCCTTGAGAGCCAGGGGAATCGATGGTTCATCGGAACTGAGCGCTGATCTGGAATGGGCGGTGAGGACACTGCTCCAACACGTCAGTACCTCGAGACCCTTGGAGTTGAGGCAGACTTCCGGGAGAGAGCTCTTCATTTTTACTGATGGATCTTATGAACCTGGCGCTGGGGTTGTGGCCGGCATCGGAGGAATCATTTACGATGCCTCTGGCGTCCCGTTGGCTTTCTTCAGCTCGGAGATCCCCAAGTCTGATTTGGAAGTGCTGGAGGCTGAATCCGAGCATCCAATCTATGAAGTCGAACTCTACGCGGTCCTAGTGGCGTTCATGCTATGGGCGGAAGTGTTGAGAGATACCTTCAGCACCTTCTACTTAGACAACGAAGCTGCGCAATCCGCTTTGATTGCTGGCCGCTCTGGGACTCGAAACGGACGACGGCTCTTACAGCAGGTCTTATCGCTGGAACATGACAATATGGCTAGGCCGTGGTTTGGGCGTGTGCCTACCCACTCGAACCCGGCAGACCCGCCTAGCCGACAGATCGTGGACCACCTGATCAGACAAGGCGCAAGGCAGGACGATGTCGACTTGGGCTGTCTGCTGCTTGAAAGGCCTCCGGATACGGGCTGAAGTGCACTTCGATGGGGGAAGTTCGGGTGCACTTGAAACGTGTGCTTTAGGAGTCGTGGCCCTTGGCCGAGCCTTGGAGGCTTGACCTTGGGACAGACAGCCGATTTGACTTTCGACTTTCCCCATTGCACTTCGAGCTTATCCGATAAAATGAAGGAGGGGTCCGAGTGAATGCATCGCAGTCTCACATGTCTGATTGAACATTTCATACGAAATATATTTGATTGATATATTCCCAAATAACGACGAATTTGTTCATGCGTTTGTGGACTTGGAAATAAGTGACCACATCACTTGTGATTTTCACTTTATTTCCAATTTCACAACGATTGTTGTCTCGTTGAGAAACGATCGTGCATGAACACTTCGGGCGGTTTTTGGGAAACTCTTTTGAACCTGATTTTTAACGATTGAGTTTTTCATGAACTTTATTCTTTGATGATCAGTTGCTAACATGTCTCCCGCGCACGCTCCTTCAAGCACATGAGTGCAAATTTTTGTCCCGCCCGCCCACCCTGGAGGGGGAAGTTCGGGTGCACTTGAAACGTGTGCTTTAGGAGTCGTGGCCCTTGGCCGAGCCTTGGAGGCTTGACCTTGGGACAGACAGCCGATTTGACTTTCGACTTTCCCCATTGCACTTCGAGCTTATCCGATAAAATGAAGGAGGGGTCCGAGTGAATGCATCGCAGTCTCACATGCCTGATTGAACATTTCATACGAAATATATTCGATTGATATTCCCAAATAACGACGAATTTGTTCATGCGTTTGTGGACTTGGAAATAAAGAGTTCAAAAGGAGTGATTTCAAGAGTGACTTCAACAGTGTACTTCAGTGCTATACCTAGCATAAACAATATGCTGTTTTTATCATGAGTCCAAACTCCGCAACTGTGACAGTGGGCATAATAGTATATGTGTGAATGTGCGGCCATGCTTCCGGTAAAAGAAAATTAGTGTCTGTTTGTTTGCGTAAACCTCTAAAAGGGTAGCTCTAACAGGTACCTACAGCAATGGCTGCATGCTCATACATATACATTCCGCTGCCCATTGGCTCACAGTGGTTTTACCATATTGAGACAAGACAAGCTCTCCTTGCGTAGCAAGACAAAACAACTACTGTCCGTGTGCAGGGCGCTGCCCTTTGATCCTTAGGGAATAAACTGGTCATACACCTCCTAACAAGGAGCATTTCCTTGTGGGTGTATCGGCTCACCCCCCCCACCCCCCCGCCCCCCCTACCCCACCCCCCCCACCTGCTCTCTCTCTCTCTCTCTCTCTCTCTCAGTGATCCTCCCCCACCCCATCCCCCACCCCCCCACCCCCACCCGTGACACCCAATTCTGCCGAAGCAATCTTTTGCACAAGATCTTTTTTTGTGCCCGCGCACAGCTATGGCAAAGCCAAAGCGATCGGAGGCAGAGGAGCAAGAGGCTCCAGAGGAGGATGAGGAGGTTGAGGAGGAAGAGGACCCAGAAGGAGAAGAGGAAGAAGAGGAAAACGACGACGAGCTATAGGAGGAGAGGAGGCAAAGGAGACCCCAGCACCCCAGCCCAGTAAGCCAAGACCGGGGATTCTGCGAAAGGCGAAGGCGAGCCCAGCACCCAGCAAGGCACCCGCAAAGCCAAAAGCCAAGGCCGACCCTGCCAAACCAAAGGGCCCAAAGCGAAGGCCAAGCCGACAGCAACCAGCACGCCCAAGTCGAAGTGCAAACCCAAGGCACCCAAAGCCAAGGCCAAGGCCGACCCCAAGGCGAAGGCCGACCCCAAGAAGAAGACCAACCCCAAAGACAACAAGGCCAACCCCAAAGCGAAGGCCGACCCCAAAGACAACAAGGCCAGCCCCAAAGCGAAGGCCGACCCCAAAGCGAAGGCCGACCCGAAGCCAAAGCAAATCACAAGGAAGCGAAGCATGGCAGAGGCCTTGACCGGCGACTGGATCAATGGGCTTGGGCCTGAGGAGTCCGGCGAGACTCCAGCAGAAGAGCCGGAGGAAAGCGAAGCTGGGCCGAATCGACGAGACCGCAGCAAGCAACACAAGTTCAACGTGTTGCTCGCAGCAGCAGTGCCAGAGAAGATGAAGACGGAGTGGGAGGCTTTGAGTGCCGGCGGCAACGGCAAGAGGAAGAACCTGACGAAGTTTATCGAGGACTCAGTGAGTCGTGACCCCGAGACAGGGAAGCTTGCCCTCGCCTGCGAAGCCGCAGAAGTGACGGGGGAAAGCAGTCTGGAGAAGAAGCAGTCCACTGGGTGGGGAGACAAGGGATTGCCGAGAACGCTCTTTAAAGGGCGCTTTGGGTTGTCGGATGAGCAGCTCAGGGCCGCGATCTTGAATGATGAAGTCTCCGTTGTCACCCAAGACAACGTGGTGTTCTGTCAATGGCGAACCTTGAAGTCCACTTCGATGGACGAGCGAAAGAACGTGGCAAACATCAAGTCCGAGGCTCTGAGGGTCTCTGGGTCCCAAGCAGGACAACTCCAAAACCTGTTCGACAGTGTGTCGATGGAAAGGCCTGAGCCGACAGAGGAGGACCTCAGAAACGCCGCTGCCTCATCGGCTGCTCCGCCGACCGTGGCGGTGCCAACCATCAAAGCCATCGAGGACAAGAAGGAGGAGCCTGCCGTGCCAGCGGCCTTGTCAGAGGCCGACTGGTCGAAAGCGGACGGGCTCCTAAAGAAGGCTGAAAGCGCCGTCGAGAAGCTCAAGAAGGTCCTCGCGGGAGTATCATAGCAGTTCCCTGTGTCTTTCTTGGTGTTACACCGAGTTAGGGCAGGGAATTGCACGTCACAGTTCCAGGATGCAAGCAAACTGAGCGACAAGATCAAGCAGAACAAAGACGACCCCCTCCTCAACAAAATGCATCTTATCGAGAATCTATGTAACAGAGAGTATAGAGAGCCCATGCTTCATGTCACAGCCCCCACAAGGAAGGCCACCATCCAAGCTCTGACGGACAAGAAAGCTTTGCTGGAGCATGTGCGATCCTTCCAGGACCAGAGAGATGTGTACAAGTGTGCCTATATATATATATATATATATATATATATATGCAAATGTGTGCTGCAGGACCTGCCCGATGGCACCCGCATCAACAAGGAGAATCTCCAAACGACCCTGCTCGAAGCAGGCCACACATGCTGTGCTGAATCGGCGACCCTCTTCCCTCGACTCGCGACCCTATATACATCCGAACCCTTCTGCACAGGCCAGCTGTGCAGCCAAGTGGTCGAGGAGATCACTGGCTGGAGTGGCCAGTTGAAGGCCCGTGGCCTCTGAGGCCGGCCTCTAGGGGGGTTTGGGGTCCAGCCTTGAATTTTTAAGGGCTTAGGGCTTTCAAAGGGGTTTATAAAAAGAGTTGATCCTAAACCCTCTCAGAAACAGGGATAATCATGCTAAGTATTGCCCGAAGCCTGGTCCGTCTGGGCCCTAAACCCTCCAAAGTTCGGATAATCATGCTATAAGTATTGCCCAAAGCCTGGTCCGTCTTGGACCTAGACCCTCACAAGTTCGGATAATCATGCTAAGTATTGCCCAAGGCCTGGTCCGTCTTGGCCCTAAACCCGCAAAAGTTCGGATAATCATGCTAAGAATTGCCCAAAGCCCTCTTCCGTTTCAGTCTAAACCCTTCAAAACAGGGATAATCATGCTAAGTATTGCCCAAAGCCTGGTCCGTCTTTGTCCTCAACCCTCAGAAACAGGGATAATCATGCTAAGTATTGTCCAGAAAGCCTTGCCGCAGCTGTTTTTGTTTCGAATATCAAACACCACCCAGCAGTCCCGTGTCCCTTTCTTGGTGTTATACACCGAGTTAGGTCAGGGCGCAATATATCAAACCACTCCCCTGTCCCTTTCTTGGTGTTACACCGAGTTAGGTCAGGGCACAATATATCAAACCACTCCCCTGTCCCTTTCTTGTGGTGTTACACCGACTTAGCTCAGGGCACAATATATCAAAGCACTGCCCTGTCCCTTTCTTGGTGTTACACCGAGTTAGCTCAGGGCACAATATATCAAAGCACTGCCCTGTCCCTTTCTTGGTGTTACACCGAGTTAGGTCAGGGCACAAAATCCAAGAGCTATAACCCAGGGGTTCAGGGTTAGAGGGTTTACTTTTTAGATGAAAATATGATCGAATAGGACATTTCCTATCTCTGATGTTCTGATGGCCGGTTTGGGGCCACCACCAAAAAAAAAGAGGACCACAAGTGCTGGCATCGCAGCAGCCGCCAGGGAACTGCCAGGCTCCAGATTGAGAGTTTGGCTCCTGGAACAGTTTGCATGGGGCCTGCTATCACCACAGCAGGTGCAAGCAATATCTGCTGCAGCATTGCATGATGCCAGAGAACGAACTGTGACTGACCTCGAGCCCCTCGCCAAGCTTGGAAGCTCCGGTCAACACAGCAACAATGTCAACAGGGACTTGATGAGATTGGTCGGGCAGGAGCCACTGATGTACAATCCCAGTCGCACCACTTTGCGAAAAAATGCTTCTGAAGTGCCCGTGCCCGTCGACGGAGTGCCCAGCGACGAGCATGCCTACACCATCAGCCTGCCACACGAGTTATTTAGCAGCCACAATTACAAGGCAGCATGGAAACAAGTGATCATGCCTGGACAGGCGTTTTTGGATCGCTTTTGGAAGTCGGCCAGAGGGCTGCCGCAGTGGGAGGGCCACCCACTGGCATCGGAGCCATCCCATCAGGTGAGAAAAATCATACCATTATCATTGCACGGGGACGAAACACCGGTGCTGGCCAAGGGGAAGATTTGGTCCTCTTCAGCCTTAGTGATGTCATGGGCTTCCCTTTTGGGTAGCGGCTCCACGAAACAAAGCCAGCTCTACATCTGGGCCGCCTGGCACAAGTCATTCTCCAAAGAGACGAATGATGACCTCTGGAGTCTTTTACTCTGGTCTTTCGAAGCCTTGTGGTCCGGCGTTTTCCCGAAAAAAGACTGGCGAGGATATGATTTCGATCCCCACAGTCCCGAGGGACAGCGAGC